GAATTAATCTTCAGCCACGAAAGGCATGATGGAAAGTACTAGAATTTCAAATTAAGTAATGGATTGACTTCCTTCAAAGCTGTAATTTGTTTCCTTTTATTCTTCTGGTATACTTTTCGATCATATTCAAATCATCCACCATTGCCTTATAAATTCAGGGTCTCTTACATACATCTCATGGTCATTTAAAATTTTTTACTCTTTTGTTTTTTCTCTTAGTACAGAGATAACCACACCTTAATCCAGATTTTAAAAAATTATTTTAAAAATCTGGGAATGAAAGAAAGAATTACTTATGACTTTGGGGAAAAAAAGTAGTATCCCTTAATTTAGTACTTATTGAATTTATTTTTTCCAAAGGAAAAGACTCTGAGAGCCAACCAGTTGCTGTTGAGTGTGTGTGACCCCATGTGTGTCACAGCAGAACTGTGCTCATAGAGTTTTCAGTGGCTGATTTTTGTTTGGAAGCAGATTGCCAGGCCTTTCTTCTGAGGTACCTCTGGGTGGACTCAAACCTCCAACTCTTTGCTTAGCAGCTGAGTGCGTTAACTGTTTGCACCACTTGGGGACTCCAGAATTGAGGTCGGGGAAAGTATTTCCCCAGTTGGGGACACTTTGTCTACCTCTGACACAACAACCTACAGGTGTCTCAGATGTGCTGACAACAATTAGCTGAGAGGAGAACTCTGGTACCCATTCTGAAAACATAGTTCCACTTTCTTACAACAGAGCTCTCAGGGATGCCATTTACAGGGGCGCAGGTTCCAGTGATACAAAAAAAAAAGGGTCTGTGGTCAAGTAAGCTTGGAAACATGGACCTAAACAAAATTCAGCTGTTTACCCCAGTACTTCTAAGAAACTTTAATATGCTCATGTGTATTATAAAACCCCAAGCTTACTTGGTTTGAAAAATGACCAGTGTTTCCCAAATTTCTTTGACCAGGAAAGTACTTTTTTTTTTTAGTGGAATGTCTTCTGTGTCTAGTGTTTCACCGAACTCTCCTCCCAAGCTCACTTCCCACTGGCGGGCATCCATTTCCCGTACAGAGTTGAACACTTTATGCATCATCTTGTAAAAACCACTCAATCTCCGGCTGGGGAGAAATATTCTCCATCTGGAGTTTGCAATTCCTGGTTTATTAAGCAGTCCTGAAGTGAATAAGCAGAACTTCCCTAGTTTCACATGTTTGTTATCCCCATCAGGTTAGAGGAATCTATCTTGCTTTTAAAAAGGACATGGAGGCTGCCAGGAGTTCTAATGATCCCAGTGATCAATTCCATTTTCATCTATTAAATCTCTGCCTGGACGGAGAGTAAAATGGAAATGATGAGCTGACCAATTTAAGCAGTATGAGTTTTTGGTACCAAATTACAAAGTCTTCAGTAATAAAAGAATATACCCTAGTTAAAGGTGGTAAAGCAAATAATTGTTTTTGAGTATTCAGAGGAGGCAGTTGAGGAGGTGAAGATGGATGTTCTTGTGGCCTCTCGAGTAGCTATCTACACAGCTTGCCTAGTCCTGCTTCTTGCATCACTGATGGCATTCCCTAACCTTGAAATGCCTTCTACCTCTTCTCCACCAGTTTAGTTCAGTCTAGTGCCCAAACTTCCCTCAAGCCCTAGCTCAATTCTCACTAGCTCCAGAAAGTCTTCCCTGGCTAGAACATCTCTCCCATCTTCCACCTCAGTATTATTTTGCACGTTGTTTATCTGTGCTGTTATCAACAACACAGAGCAGAGTAGGAAGGATTCTCCTGATGGAGTTGGGGATTGGCCTCCTTAAGATCAGGATATGACTTCAGTTTCCTCACCTTTTAAAAGAAGGGGTTAGAGTAGAAAATCTCAATCCCTGCACCTCTGAAACCCTGTGCTTTTGTGTTTTCATTTCTTATCCTAAATATGTAAACAAACACTGGTTTTTGCTATTTCCTATGTTTCTCTTGTCCTTCTGTCTTTCCAGTTAGATTGTAGACCCTTGAGGAAAAAGGCCATCATTTTTTAATTAATTTATGTATTTTTGGTAAATATTGTGCTGTGTAATAAATGTTTACTGAGTAAATGAAATGATATGATACCAATGCCCTGGTAATAGTAATGCATGAATTTTAGCCACATCTTTGTGTATTTGCTCCTAAGGTAGAATGATGTCTTTATTTTCTCTATCAGTAAAATAATAATTCAATTTTGGTCTGGCTCCCCATGAGAAAAAAGTTTAAAAGAGTGTTTTAGAACAAGGCTGTACTCTCAAGGTCTTTATGCCCTTCTAAAAATCTTCCAGTGCAGTTGGATAGGTCACAACTCTGCTTAGCATTCTTCCCATACACATTCAGTTTCAGTTTTGCTGATCTTACAGCCTGAGTTCATCCCACTCAGTCTTACTGAGAAGACTAAAAGATCCTCTTGATTGTTGTTGCTTCTGGAGAGTGGATTGCCCACTATCTTCATTTTTTAATCTTCAAGAGAATACAGATTCACTTGTTAGTTCCTTCCTTGTCTGATTGTCTCACTTTATTCATTAGACCCCACTTCTTACCCATTCTGTGGTCTAGAGAGACACTGTTTCCAAATATCAAATGATCTTGCAATCTTGTTGGCAACCTTGCTTCCCCACTGGATGCTAACATTGTGCAACAAGATATAACACCTTTAATTGCATCCCAAGATTCCAGTATAGGCCTATTTACATAAAGCTAATGTATGAGTTTCCCAGTCTCTCTCAAACCCTACCCAAGGAAGTTTAATTACTGAAGTACCAGAAGGACGTTGTTTACAGGCCTAACCTGGAACACTGTCCCAAGGCACCAGTCCCAAGGAGGAAAGTACCTCCAGCCCACATTCACATTCACATTCTCTGAATGTTTTATTAGTTGCCGCATCTCCCACCTTCAGCCTCAGCCCCATGAATTTACTCATTTGAAGTGTTAGCACTTGTTACCAGGTGGTTGAGGGGTGTCCTGGACCTCTTGCTTTTCTTCCTTTTTCACCGACCATTTCTAGTAGTCAGATGAAGCTCCAAAAGTTAATGCTACTAAAGCAGAAAGAAAGCAATAATAATAATAATAATAATGAAAGAAAGAAAAGAAAAAAAGAGCATTTAGGGTGGGGAAAAATATTCAATGGGGAAACATATTAAGAAATCTGTCTCCCCGTATTTGAGGAAATATTTCAGTAAGGGCATGTTTATTTGGTGATGAGGAACAGACATAACGTCACCTGCCCCAGATCATTGGGCAGGCTTACATGTAGGATTCAGTGTTCCTGAATTCCCATCCTACACATCCCCTTCTGCAGCCTGGAAGGTGCGCAAAACCACCATGTTCATGTTCAGTAGGAGCTCTTAGAGGACTTGGACTGGTTTTATTTTAAGAGATTTTGTACGTCATCCCTCAGGCTGGGAGCAGGGGCCATGCACCTGTTTTACTGAAGATACAACTACCTCTTGGGTTCCTTTTTTCAGGTTTTGTGAAACATGGTTATTTGCATTACTTTCCTTTGATAGTCACGTATACAGATGAGTATACATGGAATCTAGGGCAGATTACAGATGTAAAGACAATAGTGCAGTATTTTTTAAGCATGTGCACTGATTTTTTTTTTATTTTTGGTAAGAAAAATAATAGATTAGACAAAAGGCCCCCGAACCTATAAAAGTCAAATGATTTATTTCTTCCCATGGCAAGGCAGGGGTGGCATTTATAGTCATACAGGCAGCAGAATGGAGATAATCTAGGTTCTGTTGGTTTTTCTAGCTGAAAGCTCCAGTTTCAATAGATAGAGAATCCTTGGAATCAATTCTAAAGCAGACTGACTGGGAAATTTATCGAATTATCATCTCAGGACTAGAAGGTGAGGGATTTGAAAGTGGTTTAGAATGAAAAACTGCGTAGGTTAAAGCTTTTTTTGTAAATCCAACGGCTGAGGATTGTTTAAGGAACTCTCCTTAAATATCCAGAAAATACACTCAAGGTGAGGCTGAACTTTTTTCATCTGTCAGTGCATTTCATTATGTGACCTCTTGTGTGTTTTAGATTTGCTGGCATGTCATTCTTGGGAAAAATGGAAACTTTTATTTTATGTAGGGGGCAGAGTGGTATCCCATGTTTATCCTAAGCCAAGACTGATAGTTTATAAGGGTGGATGTTGAAATTTCTTCCTCCTGCCGAAGGCTTGAAAGAGAATAGAAATGCAATGGTAATTGGCAGGATAGTCATCAGATTCAATTTCACTAGAAATTTCCTTGTGTCAAAATCATCTTTAGTAACACAGAATAGGTAGCAAAATGTATTAAATCCTTGTTTTGTTTGAAAGAGCTTTGAATCTGAAACAGAAAGTAGTTACCCTGGTGCCATTTTAACCTTAACCCCAGAGGAGTTTAAATGCAACCCGATTTTTGCGATTTGGAATAGACTTTTTGTTCTCTGTTTGCATAATTCTATTCCAGTCATCTGAATTATATTGTAGTCACTTCCCTGTTCTGAGGTTTTTCTGCTTCTTTAGAAGACAGTAGAAATCAAGGTTTTGAGCTTTCTCTGAGTGGGTTTCTTTCCTTGCAAACTCTAAATGCATTTTCCCCAAATAATGAAACATTTCATATTTTAGGTTTTAATTGAGGTGATAATATTGAATTCTATTTATTTCTAAAGTAAATACACTAGTCAACTTTACTCCATTGAAAACATTTATCTGTAATGGGAATTCAGATAGAAAATTCAGTCTGGCCAGTGTATTTTTTTTTTTCACTGTTTTGAGTACTCCAAATTAAATTAATGGTAAAAATTGATCTTGTGTTCAATACTTACTTAGAATAGAATAAGGGAAATTTCTAGTATTTTAATTAATTCAGCTAATAGTTATTTTTTTCTATTTTGTGGTACATATTAATAAAGAAAGAACTGTGTAAGGTTAATGATTTATAAATGAGGTTTCTTGCCTCCTCTCCCATTCGTAGAAGAGATGTCTACAACTATACTTTGGATTGTTTGTTGATTTTTTACAAACAGGTGTCTTATTAAGGATTTTGAAAAGCGGCCTTCAGTCACACATCTCCTCGACCACCCGTTTATTAAAGGAGCCCACGGAAAGGTTTTGTTTCTGCAGAAACAGCTGGCCGAGGTCCTCCACGACCAGAAGCATCTACACCCTGTTGTTAAAACCAGGTACTGTACTCGGTATCTTCCTGCTTCTTCTGTTTATAAAAACAGCATGTCTTATGTTTATATTACTTATATTACTTATATTACTGCTAATTATCACATCCCTGCATTTTTGAGAGTTTCATTTACACAACATTAAGTGCTCCATGCCCAGTGGATTAGCGCAAGAGAGCGTCAGAAACAGGCTGCCCATTTGTGCTTTTATGGCTAATTTCTCTCAACTGTGGCAAAATCTTTCTCAGTCCTCTGGCGTCGGTTATCTCTAGTTAAAAACAACAAATATATATGTTTATATTGAATATAAATGTGAATTTATTACCAACAAAGGTTAGTGTAGGAGATCAGCCACAGCTGAGATTGTATGAAAAATCTTTGCTTGGCCGTTGCAGAATGGAGAACAGAAATGTAAGTTGTAAAGTGATTTTGGAAACATTCAGAGTTAAATACTGAAGGTGTTTTCTCTAATGCGCTCTGATGTAGTTTCCTCTTTCATTAAAATTCCTTAGAGGCAATTCAGTGTTTTTAAATGATCCCCTGCCCCAAATATTGTCTTTGCTATCTTTTTAAAGCAACTGAGATTTTCCTGTTTATTTTAAGGATAGAGTTTTTAAAAAATAAATGTTTATTTTCAGTGGTAGTTGCTTAAAACAGTATGCTGTGGTGATCTAGAAGAAATAGATCTTTGATTTCTGTCCAGAGGGTGGCAGAATTTCTCTTTAAAAAAATTTTTTTTCATGTAAATAAACCTGCTTCCCCTTGTCAGCAATTATTTGGTTTTATAAAACTGCAGATAAGCTCCAGTTCATTATTATTAAAAGAATATTTGAAGTACCAGAGGTGAGGAAAATAAAATACCACAATCCACAAGTTGTGGAATTATTCATGTGTTCTGCAGAAAACTGTTTACAAATCAAAAAGCCAAATATTGGCGTCAGAACGCTTGATGCTGGAGGCATAGTTTCAAGGTGACTACATCTTGCTATTTCTCTACCTCCAACCAACTTCCTTTTTGGATAGCTCAAATTTTTCCTTCTCTTTTCTTTTTCCCCTGCCATTTCTATTTCTATGGCTTGCCTACGTAGGTTAGAGAAATTCTTGTGACTTGGTGCCTTTTTGAAGCAGTGGGAACTTGTATTTAAGCCCCAGGAACTGCAGTCCTTTTTCCTCCCCTGCTTTTGTTACTAAACCTCCCCACTGCTACCCACCCCCCACCACCACATCACCACCAAAAAATAGAATATACACCAAACAAAACACAAACCCCCCATTCAAATGCTGCAAATCAAATCAGACATCTCCTTCTTGTCTCTCTGCTCTGAGGTCTGCGATGGAGTAATTTCTCAGACTTAGTTTGCGAAGTTATCCAGCCTTTCACATTTGCCTGACTTTGCCTAGATTCTCCTTTTAAAAATCTGTCTCCTTTTACCATAGAAGATCACAACTCTGACTCCGGGCTCTCTCACTCCTTTTCTCTACTTTATCTTTGTTAACTCCTTTGATGTCACATGCTTCCTGTGGTGGCAAAGGCTTGTCACGGGGTCTTTGTCATCTTCAGCTTCACTCAGCAGTTTGTGTTTCTTTGAACAGTCATTAAAAAAAAATACAACCTCACAAATAGGTATCAAAACTTTAATTCCGAAGGAAACACAGCACATATAATTGACTCTTAAATCTCACCTACTGCACACTATTACTTCCTCTTAGCAACTGGCCAGGAGTTGGTTACGGAGATGTTTTTTAAGCTCATCAGGAAAAATTCTCAGAAAGAACAGGCATCAAGTATCATTTGATGCCGGTATCTCAATGTATTTAAAGTTGGAGGTTTCTAAGTTAAGGTCGAATGAAAAATGAAGAAAAGGGAGGTGAGGGCATCAGTGAGTGAGGCCAATACAACTCATTGTTTTTCTGCATAATTATGGTCACACAGCAGACAGTACAGTGCAGTGGTTAAAGCTGCTGGCTCTGCCAGGTTTGAATCCCAGTTCAGCCACTTATTGGACAAGTTATTTAACCTTTCTATGCCTTAGTTGGAATCCCTGGTGACATAGTGGTTAAGAGCTATGGCTGCTAACGAAAAGGTCAGCAGTTCAGATCCACCAGGCACTCCTTGGAAACTCTATGTCTGCTCTGTCCTATAGGGTAACTAAGAGTTGGAATCGACTCGACGGCAACGGGTTTAGTTTTTGGTTCGGTGCCTTAGTTTCTGCATAAACAAAATGGAGATGTTTCAACGGTTAAGTTAGTCGATACATGTAAAATGCTTAGAATAGTGCTTGATACAGAGTTAACCCTCAATAAATGTTTGCAAGCAGTAGTAGCAGAAGTAGTACCCACGGTCTATTTAATTAAGAGCTCTCCAGTTCTTTTTAACACTAACTGCCTTTTGGCCATAATCTGTGCAAATTCATCTGTGTTTGCTTACTGTACAATATCATGATAATAAACAGCACTGAGGTACCAATGAATGTAAAAAATATCAATTTCTGTTATTCCAAATCTAATTTATTCGTGTATTCATTCAAGAGACATTTATATGCATGTATGTGTCAGGCCCTATGCTGAACACAGGGACTACAAAGGCAAATCAGATACAGTTCCTGATAAAGAGCTAGTAGTCCAGTGTGTGAAACAGTCAAGAATCAGATGAGAGCAGTTCAGCATGGAAAGTGCCTGGATAAAGGAATGCCTGGGATAAAAGAGCACCTGGGAAAGCTGCCTAAACCAGTCTGGGGCTGGGATGGCTGGGGAAGGCCCCCTAGAGCTGTTGGGAAGACAATGCTTGAACTGCTCTGAAGAACAAATAGAAGATAGTTGGGAAAGGGGGGTATTCTAGGTGGAGGGGGCAGAATGAGTCAAGGACAGAGGCTGGAGAGAGCTTGGGGAATTTTGTGAACAAGTAGTTGGCATGGCCAGAGAGTGGCTTGGGACAGATGGGGTGGAGACACAAGGGTTGGCAGGGGCCTGATCATGATGGTCCTGAGGACCTTGGATTTGTTCCTTAGGCAGTAGGGAGCCTCTGAAGGGTTTCAAGCATGGAAGTGTCCCAGGCAGGTCATTCTAAGTGCAGTGTAGAGAAAGGAATGGAGGGGGCAAGGCTGGAGGCAGGGATGTGAGTGAGCCAATCATGGCAATTACAAATGGTGAGAAATATTAAGATAATAGGATTGTCCCTGTTTAATTCCCTCCATGAACACCTACCTCCTTTGTCATGAGACCAGAAGAACTAAATGGTGCCTAGCTACCATTACTGAACATTTTAATCAAAGATTCTATGGAAGAATCCTGATCAAAAGGGGAGGGGGTGATTGTGGGTTCAAATTTTCATGGAATCCAGACTTTCTGGAGCCATTGAAGTTGAAATATCCCCCAAAACTATTGCCCTGAAGAAATCTTTAAACCTTAAACCAAAACTATCCTATGAAATCATCTTTAAACAAAACAGTAGTTTAGCTTAATTAGAAAAGAACGTCTGCCTTTAACATTTGTGTTCTGTTAAAGAATTGTCTGTATGTGATCAAATTAACAACCTCAACTCAAAAGGTTCAATGAGAAGCTTAGGGGGTAGTGAGTTTGTGTTAGTGATAAGAAAACAATTCAGAAAAGGATATTGAGAAAAGTGGCACAACTTGGAGAATGTAACCAATGTTACTAAATTGTACATGTAGAAATTGTTGAATTGTTGTATGTTTTGCTGTGTGTAACTTCACCAAAAAAAAAGATAATGGCATTGACAGGATTTAGTTGTAGATAGGTTGAGGGGGATTAGGGAAAAAGGTTAAGTGTCTCAGAACCTATCCAAATTGGCTGCCTCCTTGCCGTGGTTCACACTGCAGGGCTTCATACCAGTTTGCTTTGGTTCAAACCTCTGCTGAGAATTTGCATTTCCACCCCAGATATACTGAATCAGAATCTATGGTTTAACAAGATCCCCAGGTGATTCTTACGTGTAATAAATTTTGAGAACCACTGCTTTACTGGTGGTTCTCAGAATTGGTCCCTAACCAGCAGCATTAACATCACCTGGGAACTGGTTCGAAGCCCTGAATGAAACAGAAGTTGCACTAAGAGACAGAGACTAGTCAAAAGCCTCTACTTCCCCTTCATAACCTATCAAATGCAATGCCCAGTACTTCCAGGTATTACAGAAAGCTTCTAGCTTTCTGCCTAAAGTAGAGTTTTTTAGTGATTCAAATAGTGCTAGACTCCCAGCTGGAGCAAATTGTTTAGTTATGAGAGATGATGCAAAGGAATGTTACTTATAATCTACAGGGAAAACTGCCTTGCTGTCCTTGCAAAGATAGGAAATGTTTGTCACTTCTAGTACTTTCCCAGGGGAGAAAGAAGTCCATAGTGTGAGAGGGTTGCAAGGAAGAAGGCAGGTTATTAAAGGATGGGAAAAACTTGGGCAGACATCCTTATGTAGAGGGAAACATTGAAGACGGAAGAGAGAGGAGATCATGGCTGTCTTAGTTATGCAGTGCTGCTATAACAGAAATACCACAAGTGGATGGCTTCAACAAACAGAAGTTTATTCTCTCACAATCTAGTAGGCTAGAAGTCCAAATTCAGGGTGTCAGCTGCAGGGGAAGGCTTTCCGTCTCTGACAGCTCTGGAGTAAGGTCCTTGTCGTCAATCTCTCCCTGGACTAGGAGCTTCTCAGTACAGAGACCACGGGTCCGAAGGATGTGCTATGCTCTCGGTGTTTCTTTCTTGGTGGTATGAGGTCCCCATGTCTCTCTGCTCGCTTCTCTCTTTTATATCTCAAAAGAGATTGGTTTAAGACACAATCTGATCTTGTAGATTGAGTCCTACCTCATTAACATAACTACCACTAATCACATCTCATTAACATCATAGAGATAGGATTTATAACACATAGGAAGATCACATCAGATCACAAAATGGTGGACAGTCACACAGTACTGGGAATTATGGCCTAGCCATATTGATGCACATATTTTTAGGGGACACAATTCAATCCATAACAATGGCAGAGGAAACAAGAGGGAGTGGGATCAAGGACCTAAGAATAAGATCGGCCTTAGAGATAGAATCTCTAAAACAGGTGTCTAAATGAAATAAAAATAGAGTCATATGCTTGACTCCATTGGAGTAGACAACAGTGGTGGAGTAGAGAATGCCCCTAAGACTTGTCTTTATGGAAACTTAAGCCTAGCTTTCCTGTAAATCAGGTCACCCTCGTTGACCAATGAAATCCTGACAGCATTTCAATAGTACATTGTATAAACCAATCAGAAATAGGCTTCTTTGCTTTCTCATTTTGCCAGTAAAAAGCAGAGCTTAGAACCAGTTTGTTCTGGTCCGAACTCTTGCTGAGAATTTGCATTTCTAACAAGTTCCTTGCTGATGTTACCCAAAGCCGGTCCTGTTTGGTGCAGCTTCTG